ACTCTTCTATTTTTGACAACGGACGTTAGAACTGTTTGGACGATTGGTTTCTATGTAGATACTCTTCGTTGTTCAATTTCATCTATTGTTATTGCCTAACTTTCTCAGTCGTTTTTCACGAGATAAAACCTTTTCCTCTTCGGTTTGCTGACGTCGTGACATTTCTTTATTTGCAAAATAATACGGGCGTCAAAAGTGATTCGACGAAAAACTGATGTTCGAGATTTATAGCCCTTTCAAACTAAAAAGGAAGGAAATTCTATATAGCAGCACAGGAACGAATCAGATGAAAAATGATTAAAATCATATGATCGATAAAATACCAAAACTTCCTATTTACAACTTTTCAAATGTCATATATTTAAAACAAATTGTAGAAAAATCATTTAACAAATATTTTTCTATCATACTTGTTTCAAAGAAGGGCTTAGGGATGGTTGGTTTTATGTTCTGTGAAATCATTAATATAAGGGCGAGTCAAATGAAAGTGAGCCAATGCGAATATATGACAAACAGAGTACTTTATTTAAAGGTGGTCTCCATGAACATTGAGACATTTATCCCATTGACAAATGAGCCGCGTGATCCCCGTCTCATAAAACTCCTTGGGCTGTCGATTCAAAAAGTCTGTAACCGACTCCTTCACGACGTCTTCCGACACGAATCTGGTACCCTTGAGATGTTTTTTCAGTTTCCCGAAAATGTGAAAGTCGCATGGCGACAAATCTGGGCTCTATGGAGAATGTTGCAGCGTGTCCCACTTGAACTTTGCCAGTTGTGTCTTAACCACATCAGCGACGTGGGGACGAGCATTGTCGTGTAGCAAGATCACACCATTCGTCAATCTTCCAGGTCGTTGTTCTTGATTGCGACACGCAGCCGATCCAGCGTTGCACAATATCGCGAACTATTGATAGTCTCTCCACGTTTAGCAAATTCAATCAGTAATGGTCCCTGACGATCGAAAAAAAAAGTCAATAGCACCTTTCCCGAGGAAATGACGCCTTTGCTTTCTTCGGGGGTGGTGAATTCAAATGTTTCCACTGTAAGCTTTGCCGGCGTGTTTCAGGTTCGTAGTGGTGGCACCATGATTCGTCTCCGGTCACAATTGCAGACAAGAAGTCGTCACCCTCATTGTGATACCGGATGAGATGAGTCAAAGCAGCGCCGAACCTCTCCGTCTTCTGGCGGTCGTTCAAAATCTTGGGTATCCATTGAGCACACAAAAGCCGATAACCGAGATGATCATGAATTATGGTGTGAACCGAACCGTGACTGATGTTCACACGCTCTGCCAGTTCATCGATGTTTATCCTCCGTTCTTGTCTAATCAGCTCATCAACCTGTGCAATTGTGTCGGGGGTGATTGCAAGGTGGCTTTGGCCCGGTCTTGGATCGTCTTTGCAACTTTCACGTCCTTCTCTGAACCGTTTGCTCCAACGCTTCACAGTGGCCAATGCGATGCAATGTTCACCGTACACAGCAGTCATACAGCGACTAATTTCATGTTGGGAAACACCGTCAGCTGTCAAAAACCTGACCACACCACGCTGTTCCTCTTTTGGAGCGTCCATTATGTCACGCTACCGTCTTCAACCCAGTATAAGAGCGCCTTAAAGAACTTTAACCTCACACTTTCGCGCCACTTTCGTAAATGAAGGCTGTCTCTGTGCTACGCGCATGCGCCGCAGATGATGGACCGAACCATTCTTGCTGAGGAGGGGTTGGCTCACTTTCATTTGACTCGCCCTTATATATTATAAACTATAAATTTTCTGATGTCAGATTTCAAAAGTACTGGATATATAATTGAAAGTATTGGATATTTTAATGATCGGAAAACTGAATGATTTTCAGGAAAACGCCAAAAATTCTGCAAATTAACCTGGGGATTCGAAGATAATTTTTTCGAAAGATTTATGTTTCGTTCAATTCGATAATGTTAAGACAACATTCGATAATGCTAAGACAACATTCGATAATTAAGAAAATAATTATGAGAGTAAAATCCTTAAAACATTAGTACTTCGAATTTAGATTCATGATTCCTGTGATAATGTGATGTTGACCTTAAGTATTCCGACCGTCAAGTGTTATTAAAAATGCAGTGAAAGCTCCATCTTATCTGTGACATGTGTTATATCTGAAAATTTTAGTTTTTATAACTATTAAATCGAAAAAATTTATCCTGGTCACGGCACCATTGTTAAATCTAAAAATTTTTGGGTGTGTGTTTTTAATACCTTATTCCTTTATAACTTTAACTTAACTGATAACTTTGCTGACTGTGGTGCCGGATAAAATTACTAAAATTAAAATTTAAAAAAATATTATATAATTCAAAACAATTCTTATTCATCAAATATCAAAAGATGAATCAAATAAACAATAGTATATCATATCTATCAATCAATCGTATAGTGGTAGTACACTACAATTTACTTTTTAGGTTTGCGTTGTGAGTAACCTATGTAAAAGGAAATATCAATAACTCCAAATTCAATTAAACTCCATGTTTCTTAAAAGTCTCCCGGCTCAAACAAATGGAGGGACATGATAGACCACCGTAAAATATACACAACATAAATACACAAATGCAATTAAATTTTAAACACACATTTATTAAATTCTTGACTATTTTATATAATTAAATAATGGATAACTGATCAGTAATACATATTTTTCTAAGCAAGATAACACATAATACTACACCAAATTACAGCTTACATTAATTAAGATTAACATTATTTTTTTTTCAAATTAAGTAGGTGTAACAAAATTTAATCCTCCAAATAACAGGTTCTTATTAATTAGAAAGTAACGTTTTTCTAGCTCACAAAATTCAGTTGGTGAAACAAATTTTAATCCTCTTAAACTGGCCTTCACTTGAAATTATAAATAACTTCTCAATTTTTTAACTGTAATATTTAATTTATATAATCAATAACAAATATACGGGTAGATAAATCATTATTAACTGTTCTGCATTCGGGAAAACTAAGAGAGAGAGACAGAGAAAATATACTTAAAATTTCACTCACAGATGGAAAACAGTTTTTCCTGATTAGCAGGCTCCTTAGTGTCCAATCCACATGGAAAATGAGCCAAGCCCATTACAGTCTAATAATTCTTCAAACAGCCAGGAATCGCTTTAACTGTCCATTAGGTGGGAACCAATAGTCCAATTCAGAAGGATCTTTTTTCAATTCAATAAAAGGTAGCTGAATATACACCAGTTTTAGCACAATCACGTGCATCATCGAAGCGTCGAGGCAACATTTATGCTGAATGCTTCGGAAAAAGGCTCTTGGAGATTAACCGGCGATTCAGGTGAAGAGAGAAAAACCTGTGCTAAATTTTCTTGGTAGATTTTTCTCTATACATCTCAATCAGCTCTCAGTAAAAATGCTCTTTGCAGCTCGCACATAGTTCTCCATACATCACGCAGGAAAATGTTCCTTGCATCTCGCACAAAACTTTTAAATATCCCGCAGAAAAGAAAACAGTACCCAGTCCCTCTTGCACAGGAAGCCTGCCAGCAGGAGCAAAAGCGCCCCTCGATCTTTCTTTCTCCTTTCACACCGCGGCTGCCTCAAATTCACTCAAATCAGACTCCGGCTACAAACCATCACCGCAGCCCGCTTGGTATACAAGTCGCTCGCCCCGCAAAGGGGGAGCCCCGCCAAAACCTTTCTGCTTCTCCTTTTCCTTTTAGTTTCAAAAATCAAAAATCAGAATAATTCTCTAGCCTGGTGCAAGCACCCAGGAAATCTCGGTTTCTCCGCCTCTGTGAGTTCATAGGCTTTCAAAAAATCATAAAATTAAATTTTACCAATCCCGGAATTTTATGTTATCTAAATTGAGCAAAATGACACACCCATGACGAATCAAACACCAGAAAATCTGACAATGTAGTTCCGAAAAACATCTGCACACATAACGTGAGAAAAAAAATGGACCCCCCCAACTAACAAGCGAAACTAAGCTTTTACGAGTATCCAATTATCTAAGCTTAGTACACCCTCCCACTGTCTTGAAGTAAGTCAAGACTGCAAAACTTTAACAAAGCGACAAGAAGACGTTTTCCGTTTCCCACGCCAAAGAGTTAAAAGGGCGACACACACGACCCTACTGCCTCCATTGTTAATGGAAAAGGCCATAAAACAATAAACCAGATGTGTTGTCCTTCGCAACCGTCTCCTCGCCTTTGTCACAATTCCAACTCAAGAATAATGAGTTAAATAAAACCTTAAGAGCTTAAGAATATTTTTTCCAGATTAAAATACACATGAATACAAATAAAAATATTAGAATAATAATAACTTAAAACACATATTAATAATTGAAATTCGCGACATAACATATTCCTATTAGAATAATAATAACTTGAAACACATATTAATAATTGAAATTCTCGACATAACACATGTGCCGACTACACGAATAAGCTGAAAATAACGGCGCCTACAAGAAAGGGTTACGGTTGTGTTTTTATTAGGATAATGGATTTTAAATTTGCAAATTTAGTCTAAGCTTCATAGATAATAATGTGTAATAATGTCTATTACGTGCATGAGATAAACTGCTGCCTACCCATTATAGTCTAGATTTCTCCTCGTTGTTCAAAATCACCACTGTGAGTCCGGAAAGGATACAACTCTTTGAAGAAGGATAAAACACCTTTCAGAATAATCGGAAGAAGGCATTACAACGTAGAGAGTTACTCTGAATAATAAAATGATTTTAAGTATGTAAATTTTCCATCTTTTTGATCATTCCTTCATTCCTCGTCATATTCCGCCGCTCTAATAAAGTAAAAGTAATCTAATATCACACTGAGACACTTACGGACTCCCCTTGAGAATCGGTTAATCGGGTTTTGCAGGATGTAGGCTTTTCTGCTTCTGACTTATCCGATATGCATACACACAGAAAGTAAAACTCTTCATTTTATTAATATGCATTCGGCATGAAGCTTAAGACCATTCTATTTCTTGCAGGAGGACAACCGGTGACAGAAACTTCAACAGCCAACAATGATCACGTTATGGAATCTTTTGCTGCTGTTGCTGGTTCAGGCATGTTCGGCCCGTACCGACGATCCCCCCCGTATCTTCAACATAGGCGCCGTCCTAGGCGGTGACAGGATCGCCAACTTCTTGCAAGCCATTGAGGATGTGAACGGGGAGATGAACATGCCAACGAAAGTCAGCCTGCATGGAGTACCACTGCCGATGAATAGGAATCCCATCAGGACCGCGCAGAACGTGTGCGAACACCTCATATCATCTCAGGTATAAAGACAATTTATCTCTCCTAACAAAACTATAATAATAGTCGTAAGATAGTGACATATAAAAATGAAGAATGGGACAGGATCTCACATGTACCATTGTATAGGAATACTTTAAATCCATACAAAGCATACCATAACATCAATGATATGACGGATTATAGAAAAGATGAACAATAGTGAACAAGAAAGGAATCCGTATAATGCAATGGGAGGCCTTTATTCAAAAGTTAGTTTCGAGCACAGCAAGGCAAAACATACAAACATCCATGTGATGGGCAGCTGGAAAGGAAAAAATTGCAGTCTTTGAAAAGTAATATTATCACCTCTGACTGTGATGCAGAATGTTTATCGTTTATTCAGGTTCTATATGAAGTCTCTACAAGGTCTTTAGGCATCACGGTCCATTTCATTTTTAATGGCAGTCGCATCTGCGGAGCCAACTGACAGCTGACGTCGTGCTGCTGTGTTCTTCCAGGAACATTCTGTACGTGTTTGATTGGACTAAGGTAGGAAACATATGGGTCAGTTTATAAGATATTTCTCCCACATTCTTGGTTTGCCTTCGTGGCGCAGCGGTTCTGCACGCTGGGCCGGTATTCCAGAGGTCCGTGGTTCGATTCTCGGCGAAGCCGATTGCTAATTTTTCATCTCTTCGGCTTTTCCAATAAACCTAATGTCTCTACAAGTTTATACGGCAAACATCTTCACACTTCATTAGTTTAGCAACAGTTGCTGTAAGATGAAGTATAGTGTTGTCATTTATGAAGAACTCAAGGCCGCAACCCAGGAAAAGAAATACTTGAAACGAGAGAAGCTTGGTGCGATAGCGATCACTGACTGTGTAGAGACATTAGGATTTTTAGAAGCAGGCAAGATGAAAAAAATGAGCAATCACCTTCGCCACGGGATCAAACCACGGACCTCTGAAATACCGGCTCAGTGTGCTGACTACTACACCACGAAGGCACGCTAGGAAGGCGGGAGAAATACCTTATAACCGTAACTCCTGGGAAGACAAAACTCACAAGCATTATGTATTCGCGCATAAGAACGCTTCCATGCCCTTGGACGATGCTACAAGTGTGAGTGTTTGTTCCGTGCTTGTTTTAGATAGCCAGATGGTTGGAATGATTATAAAAATGAACTGGCTCTAATCCGTAAAGAAAAAAGTCAAACCCATTGCTTATTTCTCCAGTCCATGCGTTTCCGGCAGTGCAGAAATGTATAGACGATGCCTAACGCCTTGTAATTTATTGCTCGTGTCTTATAGCCGTTATCTATCGTCGATCTCTCTAAAAACTCCTAATTCAAATTTACCTGTGCAAAATCTCCGATAGCGCTACACTGCAGTTACATTCAGAAAGCGCGAGCCGGAAATATCATGCTCCTCTTTTCTTGTCCCTTCATCTTATACGTTCTTTCATTTAATATAACTGAACATTTTGGACTCTTGCATCTGACAAAAGAAGCTGCTCTAGCTTTGAAAGCCTACTATCTCTCCTCGCTTTAGGACAAAGTAATGGACCTCCACAGTCATGGTTGCTCATCGTACTAAATCTTCGAACAGCTGTTCCTATCGTTCTAGTTTCTAACATAACGCTATTCGTTTAATGTTATGCAAGTATAATTTCCGTTCGAGTTACTGATTAATTAATTAAGCAGGAGATAAAATAAATCTGCGTCATGTTTAAGGAAAAAGGGAATTTTGCTTAAAGGTGCCCATGCCTTTATATATATTACGTTTGCCGGTTTGTTCTTGCTTTTCGTGAAGTTCCTTTTCAGTGGTACGAAAATGTGAAGCTTTCTGTACAAGAAGGTAAGATTTTTGTACTTTTCGTAGAATTTTTCAAAACTCAGTCTCGATCTCGGCTTGAAATAAACCTGGCTCTCCGTCTTTCAGTGACGTCGTTGGAACCCAAAGTCTACAAACTGATTTCAAACAAGCATGAACAAATATCACACTAAAAATATGTAATACATAAATTTTTCATTTTTTAAAAATAATTGCTTATAACGTTGTTGCCTTTAATGGGTGCGTTTCACAATAATAAAATAAAAGTTTGTTGATTATTATTGTATAAATGTATATACAATTTCTTTTTTTAAAATTCATATTAGTGGTTCGCCAAATATAAAATTATATATGTAGTGGTCCATGAAGTTCTAAGGGTGACGATCGCTGCCTTAGCAAGTCTGGTGGTCGTCTGCGCCTCTTCTCCTCTGCCAGCTATGCTGTGTTAACCGCAGATAACGGTTATCTCACGCCGACTATTTGCCACATTACTGCTAAGGGAGAAGAAATATGTTGAGGAAACTTCCGCCCTTTTTTATTGGAAAATACAAGATCGGTCTATTGTAAAATACAGTCAGTCAATACAGTTTTAAAATACGAGTGTTGGAACTTTAATAGTGGCAACACAGCTGAGAAAACGCTACGCAACAAAACCAAACAATATCGCGTATACCACACCTAAACTACATACCTACCTTACCTCTCAGCAAAAAGACTCGTCCTGCCTATGTCCACCGCATGCGGAGTACACGAAGAACGAATCCTTGTATTAGCTCGCGTCTAAAGTAAGTGTTGTCAGGATTTCAAAACAAGAAACAACGATGTTGGATAAAAATCGAATGTGCCAGAGGTCGTACTCACGACAGTGTCATCAGGCTTCAAGAGGCCTTGCGGGAATCTGCATTGCCTTACAGAACCGTAGCAAGATGGGTGAAGCATTCAACGAAGGACGCCCAACGTGGCAGACATGCTGCGGCGTCCCGAGTGTCAGCGATGCAGACGGCAAGCTGTTTCCAACTAATGGACGTGATCGCCGCCAAACGATTCGTCAGCTGGCCGGACAAACGGATTAGCGCATACGACTGTGCTGCACATTCTGAAGGAACGCCTGTCCATGAGAAAAATTGCTTCACGATGGGTTTCCACATCATTGACGGAAATGCAGAAAGGCTACGATACGATGCTGCCCGAACCCACCTGGAGCGCTATGAGCGCGAAGGAGAATGCTTTTTTTTACGCCGTATCATTATGCTGGATGAGACTTGGGCCGAATCGTACCAGCCAGACCTTCAAACGCCAATCAACGAATGGCGTCATCACGGGTCACCACGACGTTCGAATTTCGTCAGAACCCCAGCAATGTGAAAGTTATGGTGATTCTCGTGTACGACTGTGATGGTGTCATCCTAACGTATACCGTTCCCCCACAGCAGACCGTCACTGCGTAGTATTACTGCTCATTTTTGGAGCACAATCTCCGACCGGCTTTGAGAAAAAAACGGCGACACTTTCTGCATCACGCTCCTCTCAATTTGCATGACAATGCTCGGCCGCATGCAGCGCAAGCTGTGATTGATTTGTTCAAGCGATGGGGCTGGGAAATGCTTTACCATCCACCATACTCCCCAGATCTAAGCCCTTGTGACTAAATTCCTAAGATGAAGGAACCACTTCGTGGCACTCACTTCCAAACTGTTCCTGAGATTCTTGCGGCAGTAGACCGGTCCATTCAAACTATCAACAAAACTGGCGCTGCTACAGGTATTCTGCGACTTCCACATCGTTGGAAACGGGTTGTACACAATGCTGGCGACTACACTGAAGGACTGTAAAACATGGTGACATGAATCAGTTTTGTATTCCTTGTAAATAAATAGTTGCCACAATTAAAGTTCCAACCCTCGTACAATTCCGCAGTTTATTGTAAAATCAATCAAGTGATTTTATAACACTTCTGTAAATTTTCCTCGCAGTTGTCCAGTTACCAATTAATGAGTAAGTAAAGATTAAAGATTACCTACGATCTTCAAATGAGTTTCATTAAAAGGTATCCAACTAGATTCTAATCGCCAATTTCGATGAAAATTTTCAAAAGATTTTTATTGCTTTATTTTAGAGTTTACACGCAATGCTTTCCAAAATTAGTTTCGTCTCTCCGGTTGTTAGAAGTTTAGAAGGAGAATTGTGGCTGTTCCTGTGCTATACCTTGATCCCGAAGTTCCTGTTTAAGAACCCGGATTTTCATGTCTAAAGATACACTGTCCTTTAGACATGAAATAAATAATATGTCCTGTAAATAACTTTCGAAGAACATTTTTTTCATTTGAATACGTTTGATAACGTTCAGAACATGATTTTGAACCTCTCTGTTTGTTATTAAGTATTCGGGAACGAGATTAGTTTTGCAATATAATTTTCAAACTTGACAACATTTTATTTACTTTAATTTGACAAGATTTAATTTTCAAACTTGACAACATAACTTTCTTTTCCTTCTGTTTGCTTTACTTTAAGCATATTTTTTTAAAACTTTAATTTTGAAACTTTTCTGTTACGATAAAAACTTTAATAAAAAATACTACTATAGTAATTTTACGAAAATCCACAAAAATTTCCATGAAATATTGTGAATTAAATGGACTTAAGTTCTACGTCTCTATACATATCTAAAATCTTTTCAGACAATTTTGTAAATGAAAAGAGAGAAATTTCTCGAGCAATAGCTAGTGCCTGTACTGAAACAGGTACATTTAATGGACATTTTATTTTATCACTTCGATTTTAGTGATTTAATTACTTATAACGTAACAAATATAAGGTACAAAAATAAAATTAAAATATTGACAAATACTTTTGGGTACTATTCTGTTTTGAGGATCGTAAAAAAATTGCAGCAAAAATGTATGCGCAAAAGCGCCAAATTTAGCAAACGCGTGTAAGAATGATTGTAAATTATTTAAATGTTATTAGACAAAATATCTATTGAGAAAATGGCAACAGCTAATTTCTGGATGTCGCTCTATTTTATAATTTTAAAAAATATACACTGAGATGATATACGCTTGAAATGTTTAATGGTACGATGCAGTAAGTACGTTTGTTATGTTGTGTACGTTTACGAATACGTTACGTGTAAGTTATTAAGATTTATCTTTAAATAAATGTTTGTTTGTCTTTTACAACCATTTTATGAGTGATTAATTTAACTATAAAAGGAAGTTAACACGCGCCCATTTAACAGCGTGTCAAATATAGCGTACGCGCTGATTTCAGATTGCGTAAGTTTATATAGTTCTATATTTCTTAAGACGCCATTGAAATACTAGTTTAATTTTTAAAATTCTTTTTTTGATTTTAAATCCTTTTTTGATATCCTATGGATTTAACAATTCGGGAATTGCCCATGACGAAAAGTCTGCAATAGAATTTTGGGTAAAGTTCAGAACCACGCACTGCTTGACGCGTTTTTAAGAATTGCACACACTCGGTATCCATGTACACATCGACCTATTTTCACTTAAAAAGTAAAAGAAAATTGAGAAAAATCCAATTGTTATTGTGGCAAACAAATAAGTGGATGATTCTGCACTTTACAGAGAGAATTTTTTCAAAGAAGAAAAGGCATCATTCATTGCAGAACGTTATGTTTGAACAACCAACGAGATGAAATTATGATTTAGCGATAACTCGGTAGCGAAATAGCGATGCAGGCATCCATTCAGTTATGTTTAGCAATTTTTATATAAATTATAATAATGATCTGAAATAATTATTTACTCTTATGCTTCCATTCAGTCATGTTTAGCCTTTTTTATATAAATTATAATAATAAAAAAGTATTATATGAAATTAACCTTTCATCTAAATTAAAACATCAATCTTTAAATAGTTAGTTACTATTATACTTCCTTTCTTGCGTTAGGGTTGCCGCAATTGTTTTTGGCAGCACAAGCATCAACAATAGTTTGGCGATTTTTTACGGCCCTCAAAACCGAAATAGTACCTAGTTTTGTCGTAACATATCTGGTAATCCTGCAATTTAACCCATTTTTTAAACCAAAATTTAAAAATATATATCTATATCTCTATATCCATAGAGATATAGATTGATAATCTATATAGATATAGTTTGATAATATCTTTATTACTTGTTTCTATCACTTGAAATAAACGCGACTCTGATAAATAACACTAATAATACACTAATAATAAAGTCCCGGACCCATTTTGGTGTTTAATAACTCATAAAATAATGAAGATATAAACAAGCTTATGGTATTTATTGATGGAATAACTTATATATTTTCCTTTTCATGTTTGAATATCTTTACTTTTGTAAATATCGTCTGCGCGTGTGGTTAATTTCAGATAATTTCATTTTCCAGTCTAAATATCTGTACTTTTCTAAATATCGTCTGCTTATTAATTGCATTTTTCTCTCTTTTGTTTTTGGAATCTTTCTGGCATTGTTAATCGCCATAATGTGCGCATCTGAAGATCTGAAAACCCCCATGAATACGGTGAGGCACAAAGGGATTCCCCAAAGGGTGGGCTTAATTTTTAAAATTAGAAGTGCCGGAGCCCTATGCAGGATCGTCAGGAAAGAGGAACAAGTCTAAATAAATAAATAAAATGGCCATTAAAATAATTAATAATTTAATTATTAATTTAATGTTTATAATTAATATTTGTATTGTTATTTAATTATAATTATTGTTCAATTAATTATTAATTAAATAATTAAAGATTAAAGTAAGTAAATGATTAAAATTAAATTAAATGTACAGAAATAAATTTAAGTTTAATAAGCGATTTATAATATAATTTTATTGCTAAGAATAAAATTTTTGAGATCAGATTTCTACTGAAATTGTTGTTCAGTTATATAGAAGTGCTGGAGCCTTCTTATTTAGGGCTGTGGTGCACTCCGTCCAGAATTCTGATTTAGCCCCAAAACAAAGAAGTACCGGAGCCAGGCTCCGGTGGGCTCCGGCGCAATTTAAGCTCTGCCCAAAGGTTAATGTGTGGTGTGGACTAATGCATGACCGAGTCATTGGACCTTTCTTTTTTACAGAAAAGACGGTCTAATCAGTTGTTTACTTAGACATGTTGGAAAACTTCGTATTTCCGCAACTAGAAGAGCTTCAGCCACGTGTCTTTTTGGAACAAGATGGTGCACCACGACATTGGGGTACCATCCTTCGTAGTTCTTTTTTTTTTTTTTTTTTTTTTTTTTTTTTTTTTTTTTTTTTTGATGACCATTTTGTAAAGGACAACGTTTACAGGAGGAGAGTGTCGAACATTGATGACCTAAAAGCCAGAATTACAACCGCAATAGCCTCTGTGGATGCCGACATGCTTGCTGGTACCTGGCGTGAAATTGAATATCGACTTGATATTCTCCTGCGACGAAGAGGGCACACGTGGAAGTTCATTGACAAGGGTGATGAAACTTTTTGAGTTTATCTAACCCTTTAAATTATTAATTTTAATCTATCTTTATTATTTTATGAGTTATTAAACATCAAAATGGGTCCGGGACATTATAAACACCCTGTATTTTGACACCAAACAGTAATGTAATTATTGAAATACATAAGTTCATCTCTGAAAAGCTCAAGCTGAAAAATTATTCTGGTAAAAAAAAAAGTTTCAGATTTTAAATTACGAAACCTTATAATCCAGTTCAACAGCAACATGCAAAATAGTTTTAAAATGAGCCTATCTTTAGAAATTCCGATACCGAGACTCACGCGCTGGAGATAAAAAAATTGATTTTTCTGCACAAGGTTGCCATGGCTCGCTTTGAAATCCTTGAGTTTGTTAATCAAAAATTCGTCAAAGTTTTAAAAAATAGGAAATCGATCATAAAACAAATTTCAAATTTCAAATTTGGTCTTCCACATGCTCATATTCGTTGGAGGATTACGTTATTCAAAATTCGATGACTCTATGTACCGTTATTTTATGACAATGCGAGAAATATACATACATTTATGCAGATTTTTCATTATTTAATTTCTTTAACTATAACACAGGGCGATAATAAACTGTTGCACAGTCTGTTTGTGGCAACAGTTTGATTCGGCGTTTGTAGTGAATCGACGCAAAGTTGCAAAAAGAAAGCAATAGTCCTTCAGGGACAAAGCCCCTTTGGAATAATAAATAAATTAATTAAATTTAAAAAAAAACATCGGTACCTTTATGTCGTTCGATTTTTTTTAAAGGTGAGGGCATCCGTATGCAAACTCTACGTTTACCATAAAGAAACGCATAGCTTTATACAAATTTCAGTTTAAAATGCCGAAGATTTTACTTCATGCCTTGCTTGATTTATAAATCAATAATGCAAATAAACACCGGACGTGCAACATTTTTCTTGGCATAATGAAGATTGCTTTTTCCGAGTTAGAAACTGACTTTCATAAGGTTTCCGAGACAGAAACCGATTTTCATAAGGCCAAATGCCATTTCCGTCTTTTCGAACAACGGCCGACCGACATAAGATTGCAAGTATATTTATGATGAAATACCTTTTTAAGGATGCCCCCCTGAAAATGTTATATTTTTTGTTCCTTTCAGGTCTATGCGGTGATCATCAGCCATCCGACAGCCGGTGAACTATCTCCCGCCGCCGTTTCGTACACCTGCGGGTTTTACAATATCCCAGTCATCGGCATCAGCTCCAGGGACTCTTCACTCTCGGACAAGGTTAGTGCCAACTTAAACTTACCGTGGTTCATCTTAAAAATTCGTTGTAGCTTACTCTTTTGGAGTATTTTCAGCTGTGTACGGCCGGAAATGTAGGTCTTTAGTGATTTCACACTCGAACATATAGTGATCAAATGGTACCTGTTGAACCGCTTATGCATGAGTCTGTGTGGTGCAATTCGTAGCGAAACAGATAAGCTGCAAGAAATATGTAGTATTAACTTCTGAATTTTGACTTTCCCTCAGGCAAAAACGGAATTTTACCCGGGCTGGAACATCGTATCTCGCCGAGTGACCGATTGCACGTAAATGTTTCATATGCGCTGGTTGTTAGGCTAGATTATCCGAATATGGAATAGCACATTACGGTTATATGCCTAAGGCTGCGTTCAGACGGCAGCGTAAAGGGCATAGAGGCGTAGTCATAAGGACATAAAATACGGGAATTCCGTTCACACTTGCGAGAACGGGCTGTAAGCCGTGGCCAATGGGAGAAGCTAAATTTGCGCATGCGTGGATGTGTCTACAACTTTCCCGCGCTGTTCTCCTGCTGGATTGACTTCCCGCGTTCGCTCTGCTTGTTTTGTGACAGCGAAATCTTCTGTAGATCGCCGCTTCGTTTTAGCTTCGCTCTGATTGGTCGACGCTTATCACAAACTCGGCGTAAAGTTGAAAACTTTGAACCCTATGCCACGAGCCCTAAACCAGATTTTGTTACGTAGCACAGACTGGTTGCCTTAGCAACGGAGCTCGGCTTTAACCACTTATGCCCTTTACGCCCCCGTCTGAACGAAGCTTGAGGGAAGAAAAGCCGTGTTAGAGAAATTTCTAAAGAAAAAGTCTCATATTCACGTTGCATCTACTAAAAAGCACACGCGTCTCTGCCTGGCTTTAAACTTGGCTGAACTATCAGTATTCAATGGTCTTAACCACTCGGTCGCATTTGGAGCGAGGATTGGTTTGCAGTAGAGCTACACTATTTGATTAAGTAAGAATAAGTTCACAAAAACAAAGGTAAGCGGACTGTATTATCACTTATTTATTTTACATAATACTTTGAAATAGAAGAAATGCCGTCCACGTGACGACACAGCACACATCACTCAAAATACTGTAGCAATTAAAAAAAAAAAAAACATATAAATCACATAATTTGAAAGTTCGTTACCATAGCAACCACAATTGATTCATCAGGCAGTAGAGCTATCTGTTGTTGTAAAGATACATAGTAATTCGTTTGGTAACAAAAAATACTAAACACCATTCAAGCACCATACGAAATGGGTACGAAATGAGGCCAACATGTATAAATCTTTATGACTTAAATAATAATAATAATGTAAAAAAAAACTTTGATTTTTATTTATAGCATCTTCCATCACAATATTTGAATTGAGATAACTTCGTAAATATTGAAAGAATCCTGAATAATAAAAGCACTGTGAGCAAGTGGTCGGCGGGGTACAAAATCCATGAATAGTCTCGCCACATTCGAAGTTGATTTTTATGTGTCGCTTCATGCAAAAATGGTAAAACTTTCTAATAATAACTTTTGTTAATAGTTTGGCAGATTAGTAGAAATTCATATTGCACCAACGCCATGGCAAACCGAGGAAGCAGTTAAAATTCTCTTTTCGATCTTTATGATTTCAAAATGACTCTGAAATGGACTTTTATTTTCGCGGGGGGGGGATATTGTATAATCTTTTGAGCGTCTTCATTTTAGTCTGTTTCTATATCAAAAACCTAGGCCTATGTCTCATCACCGACCATAATGCGTTTAAAGAATGATTCACTTCAGAATGAAAAGCTTCTCTTGGGCTCCTTGAACACCATTCTAAAATGCGATTATTTTGAAACCGCTTGAGAAGCGATGCATCATAAGGCCAAATGAACTTTCAAAATTGTGCGACAGCATCGAATGATACAAGAAATTGTTCAATTATATCCTCAAATTTTAAACAATAATCGCTTAACAATACATCTCTTACTTGATCGACATGTTGTTCATAAGTTGAAGTGGATGCTCTACCAGAGTGTATTTGACGCATTCTTTCCTCTCCTTAAACATTTAATACCAAACAAAATATGTCGCTCTTGTTTAAGTATTTTTGTCAAATTCCTTTGCAACTTATCAGATCTTTTGCAGCAGAAATTTCTCTGCAAAAGGTCTGATAAGTTGCAAAGGAATTTGCAACAGAAATTTCTCTGCTGCAAAAGAAAAACAAAATGTAATGCACATTCTTTGCACAGTTGCATTTGTCATTTTTGGGAAGTCGGCAAAGTAAAAATTCTTTATTAATTAAAAAGTGTATTTATTCAGAAACGATAACAGAAAGCGAAGTGCGAATTGTTTCCAGAAATTGATGAAAGTTGTAACAACTTCTGATAAAACTCTTTTAAAGAAAAGTCTTGTGTATCGTTATTTTAAATTAATTTTCGATTTTTTATCATAATAATAAATAAAAACGATTGTATGTTGAATTTGGAAGAAATTTAGTGAAATCCCTATATTGCCTTTGCAATAAAATGTGTATGAAAATTTTAAAAAAAAGTTTTCTGGTTAGTAGAAGGCAAAAATAACAACACCAAAGCAAACTAACTAACGGCTATAACTAACAGCAAACAAATGGAGACATTAAGACACAATAACACACCGAACAAATATTAATTCAGAAGTCAAACTCAAACAACAAAAATCAGTGTTATATTTTCAAAATTCGAGCGTCCAGTGAAAATTTTGAAATATAACGCTGATTTTTGTTGTTTGACTTCTGAATTAGTAAATAGAGACATTACTTTTACGGTCAAACAGGCTTGCAGAGTAAAGAAAGCCCAGCAGGCCAGTATGCTAATAACTTTGACACTGATGTTTGCCGGATAAATAAAATTATTGGCCAGATATTGTACATCGTCCGTATTCATTGAAATTAATTTTACGGCTTCTTTGGAAACCTTAAGCCTTATATGGAAAAAGCAAACATTCCGATGCTCGGATAACTGAAGTTCTAGTGTATTTAATTTAGTTCGACAGCGCTTTATTAGAACCTTCCATGGAGGAAATATTCCATTCCGAACCTCAAAAAGAACTGATCTCCACAAAGGTAAACTTTTCTTCAAATTAATTCTCCAGCACTACCCGCTCCGTCTAAAAATAGAAGGTTGATCTCGTCCCTGCCTACCCTCAACAGGCCGGATATCTGGCACGCTGCCAGAGTGCCGGACGCTATATCGATTCCGGCAAGTTTCTCGTTGCCCTAGGAAACGAGGGTTTCATTTTCTCCCTATTCACAATTGCCTCTTTGCACGCGCACACAACCTCAGATTTTCCCATCCCTCTTAGCTCTCTTTCAGCATCTTAAGCGGATGAAGAGCAAAACGCATCCAATCTCATTCTGCAACAGGAAGGACCGGTGCATTGGCCGCACGGTCTTCCGGTTTCCAGGAGGAAGTAATGAATTCTCACTGTTATTTCTCCGGAGGGAGTTAAAGGGAAGATGACTCCAAGTGAACAACCTGATTAAACAGAGCTTTACACGTTTATCTATAAACCCTCTGGGCGGCCAGGCTTTTCGCTAAGAAAGCACAAATTCCCCAAAACTACTATGAGAACAAATTATTTTTTGATTTTGATGCAAAAACTCTCCTGGTATTTCATACTGGATTTGTTTTCTTTTGATATATTGCCTTAATTTCGTTGACATATTTTAATATGCACGTATATATACGTTCTTACAGCTATCACAATAAATATTCTAGGCCGTATATGTACGGCCTTGCCGCCTAAGACAGCTTAGCCTGAACTAGAACTCAGTGCAAAGCAGTTTCAAACTCCATTTTGTTTTCATAAAAAAGCAAAATAGGCAGTTTTCATTGTTCCTTTATTTGCAGTCACCTTCCAAATTGACATTTATCGCAAAATTATTGTGATAATTTCAGAAACAATAAAGGCCGAATTTAGCATTTTTTAAACCTAAGTAATCGGAAGATGGCTTTTACAGTAAGTTACAGCTTGTGAAAAACTATCAGTTCAAATAATTATAAAATAAACCGAATGATTCTGCACTTATGCATTCAATATACGATGTCAGTGTAATTAGTAAAATATCTTTTCTAATTACATTAACTATACAAATGCTCATAATTATCAGTTCGTTCTATTATACTACTGTAATAAAACGAATTCGGAATATTTCTATGAAACATAATATTTCAATTTATCAGTCAATTTTTATTATATCCCTTTCAAAGTAATCCCCTCTGACTACAATTCACATACACACTTATGTTTCTTCCAATAATCGAAAATAGTTTAGAAAAGCTGTTTTCATGAAATTTCTCCAGGGCTCACAGCAGATTTTCTTTTATTGGATCAATAGATTCAAAATGGTGACAAAGAAACAACAACTTAACCATGAAAATGAGAAATTGTCACACTGTTTCATATTAGGTGAATAAGGTGTAAAATGATTAGGTGTTTTTTTTTTTTTTTTTTTTTTTTTTTTTTTTTTTTTTAATGCAGGAGAAATGAAAAATATGCAGTGTTCTCGCCGGGATTCGAACACCCGATCTCTCGAATACGCGTCCAGTATGCTTCCAATTACACCACGAAAGCACGGGCAAAGGGGGAGAAAATACCCTATCCTCCCTTTTCAATGGCGCTTGGGAATTAGGAGACCCAATCGCCAAATCTTGGTGGTGACGAATTATCGTCCACCACTTTTTAGTTCGGGCGCCACTGTAGAATCATTAGCTGGTGTTGATCAAAGCTTTACTTTTCCTTTTTTGTTTATTTTCCTATCGCATACTTAACTGTTAGAAGCTGGTGTATAATATCAGTATTACAGTTTGTTTGTTCTTTCATGGTAGTATTTCATAAAGCGAATGAAAATTGCAACTTTTCGCATTTGTAAAATATTCTTTATTTAATTGAATTGTAGAAATTCAGCGGCACTCAGGCACTATACATAACATCAGAAATTCACACATGTCGCAAAAGA